GGGAGGGGGGGGGCTGCCCCCAGGTTAGCTCCGGCTGGAGCAGACCCCCCCAGGCTGGGCACAGCGGGGGATAATGAAGGTCTGTCCCCGGCACCGCCTCCTGCTCAGCCCGGGCTCCCCGCGCACAGTGGAGGCAGCAGCGCGGCTTTCCCCCGGGAGTCGGTCACACTCGGGCTCCCTTTGTCGTCCCCGACTCCGCCCTCCTCCCAGCACCCACCAAGAAGGGACGGGAACCGAGGTGGGAGCTCTGTCTGAAAAGCCCCATGTGCCAGGTGTTCTGGGAAATGTAGTTTCTGAATTGTGTCTGTGCACTGTGCATGTAGGACCCCCCCCTTCGCACCCCACCGCGCTAGCTGGCCCACAGCCCCAGAGTTAGAGGGATCCTAGAATCCTCTGGCTGGAAGAGACCTCAGGAGGTCATCAGGTCCAGCCCCCTGCCCAAAGCAGGACCAACCCCAGCTCAATCATCCCTGCCATGGATTTGTGAAGCTGGGACTTACAATCAATAGGGATGAAAGCAGCAGAGTGGCCACAGCTGGAGTGCTCAGGGAGCGCTCTCCCAGTGCTTTGGGTAATCCCGGGGAGGGGGGGAGAAGCTGGGAGTGCAGCATCTGTCCTACATCAGGATTGTTTCTTGTTCCTCATGTAACCCTTCAAGGATCATCTCTGTGGGGTTGCAGGACAACCCTCTTTCCACCATAGGCCATCCCTGCTCTGCCTCTTCCTGCACCTGCTCCTCCCCAAGTCCACCCCTTCTCCCAAGCTCCCTGCTAGGGTTACCAGGTGTCTAGTTTTGAACTGGACAGTCCAGTATTTGAGCTTTCTGTTTGGGGAAACAAACAGAGAAAACATAAATGAGAAAATATAAATGTCTGATATTTTCTAAATAAGATGTAATGTAGATTGTGATGTAATGTCAAGTGTGTCTGGTATTTTTGTTGAAACCATCTGGCAACCCTACTCCCTGCCCGAGCAACAGGGCCCAAGAGATTAACAGACAGGCTGGCAGCAGCAACAGAGGTTGGGCCCTCCACTCTGCTCTCATTGAAGGCAGGAAGCAGCGTGACCCAGCCCCAAACTGTTCTCCTTCATTGACTCCCACCCATGTTCTTCTGCTTCTCCTTGGCTGCCAGTGAGTGTGGGGGAGGCAGTTTCAACCCTTCTCTTGAGCCCCCTACTCTGAGCAACATGGCTGGGAGTGGGCTAGGGCCAGATCATGTCACTTGACATTGCCACTACTGAGTGCAGAGGCAGGCCGGATCCCTGCTTCTGGTTCCAGGTCCCAATCTCTTGGGGCCTCCCTAGGAACCAGATGGCTCTGAACTCTTCTGCCAGATGGTGCTGGTAACAATACAGGCCAGGTTCCTTGGTTAGGTGGCTCCTCTTAGCAAAGCAAAAGAGAACTGGCTCTAGTGCTCATCCAGTAGCCTGGGAAAACTCACCCCCACCTCTGGGGGCACACTCTTGCAAGCACTGAGCCTGTGTATTACCAAAAAGAACTTTGAATGAAAGGGAAAGTAGCATTCATTTGGGGAAATGCCACAATCACATTCAAAAGCATGAGACCATCAGCCAAAACCCAACCCCTCAGTGCATGGAGTAGTGTCCTTTGCCTCAGTTTCCCACCTTCCATGGACCAACAAATGTCCCTTTAGCACTCTGCTTCCAGCTGGCTGTGCTTGGTTATTGAAGACTCAAAGTTTAGAGATGTGTTCCCAGGGTTTCATGTCCCGCCTCAGAAGTCTCTGCAGTTGCTGTGTGGAGTGGACTGCTTTTCTCACCTGCAGTGCTGTTAAATATTCACTGCCTCTTCTGCAATGTTAGGAGGTTACACTGCTTAACTCAGGTGTTTAGTGATTTCAGCTCTTAGTGATTTTACTGGGTAGCTAGCAATATTCCCTCTAGTCTTTTTCATCCATGTGTGGATGTGACAGCGCATTGCCCTCTACTGGCCCTTTAAGAGGCTGAGAGTGGAGTCAGAGGCAAGCCCAGCTGAGGCAGCTAATGAGGGCCCAGCTGGAGGTTATAAAGAGCAGCTCCTGGGAGAAGGAGAGAGACCGGCCTGCCTGCCTGCAATGAGAAAGGCTTCAGCCTAGCAAACCCAGGCTACCTGGCCTGAGAGTAAGCAAGGACTTACACACAGAGGGGTTTGTAGGGTTGCCAGGTGCCCAGCATTTTTGCTTCCTGGCCGGGGAAAATTTCAGAAAATACCGGACATTTTAGGTGTCTGGTATTGTCTGAATTTTTTTACCGGACAGGAGCTGAAAATACCGGGCTGTCCGGGTGAATACCGGACACCTGGCAACCCTGATAAAGAGCGACTCCTGGAAGGAGGCGGAGCTGAAAATACCGGGCTGTCCGGGTGAATACCGGACACCTGGCAACCCTGATAAAGAGCAACTCCTGGAAGGAGGCGAGAGACCTGCCTGCTGCTCTGGAGGGAGGGCAGTAGAGACCTGACTGCCAGGGAAGCAAGAAGCTCCCTGGAAGAGGGCAGAGCTGGGGAGACGTTTGGGCCTAGCAAACCCAGGTTGCCAGGCCTGAGGCCCTAGTTATTTCCAGCCTATAGGAGCTGAGGATTGAGCTGGGGGCTGGAAGATCACACAAAGCCTCCCACTGCCTGCAGAGGAGAAAGCCCCCTGGACTGCACTTTAAACGGTGGCAGCTGCATGCCTTAGGGTCCCGGCAGAGTGGTCCGTGGGCCAGATCCGGTGGTTTGGACAGCCGGATTTGGGCCCTGGGCTGTATTTTGCACAGCCCTGTCTACACTCTAATGATTTCTCTATGCAAGTTACACTGACAATCAAAAAATCCCTGCTCTAATTACATGGCTTGTGCACATTCACCGCACACTCCTCCTGATTGCAGCATGTCAGCGGCTGGGGCTGTGGCACAGGGCTACTCAACTTTGGAAGCCCCGGGGCCCACAATGATACTGTCAACGCTGATTCCCCACTCTGGCACGATAAATGCAGAAGTGGGGGCCTGCGAAAGTATCCCAAAACCTTATCTTTCCAGGCTTTGGTATAAAGCTTCCCCCAAAAATCTTAACCTAGATTTTGGGGACAAAAATTCGCTGCTACCACCCAAGTAATGGTACGAAAAACCAAGGAAGAGATCACTTGGGAAATCTCAACCCTAAAGTAAAACCAGGACATAAAAATAAACCAATACCAGGTTAATAAAAAAAGAAAGAACTTTTATTATCACCACAA